CGTGCCCGTCGTGTGTGTGTGTGTGTGGGGGGGGGGGGGACAGTAACAAGGAAAAAACGAATAGACAAAGAAGCAAATAGAAAGCAAAGTAGGTAAAATAACGCGGGCACTTAATTCGTTCTTTATATTTATTTGCGTGTAGTATGTTTCGCAGGATCGGAAGAAAGAGGGCAGGTTAGGCGAGAGAGATAGAGCACAGTATGCATCGCGACTGGCTTCTGCCGAGGAAAGGAAAACCACCAGCAACAACGACGACGACAACAGCAGAAGGAGACGTCCTCGGTCAATCATCCACGCAAGATGACTTCGTTGAGAGAAGCGTGTTCGTGAAGATCACATCGAGAATGGTGCCGATGCAAATACCCACCATGGCGTATAGAGAGCCCATACTCATGCTCAGCTCACGCCGACGCTGCCACTCCTCGGCGGACGCGGTGCGAATCAGTTCGATCTCGTCCGCCTCCGCATCGGACAACCGGCGGTTCGTTAAACCCAGTCGCACCAGCGCCGGGTCCGCATCCAAATTCTCCGGCACGTTCACCGACGCGCCATCGAGCAGTTCATCGTCGGTCGAGTCGCTGTCGGAGTGCATGATGCGGCCTTCCACCTCCTTCTTACCCAGCGGACTGGCCGCGTTGTGGGTCCCCGCCGCAGCGGGAGGTGATTGGGAGGCGCTCTCTCTGCTGCTCTTCTTATGCGAATGCTTCTTCACCGCAGCCGGCGGCTTGGACTTCACCGTGCCGGCAGGTGCCGTCGTGACGATCACCTCCGGCTCCGCGGCCGCGTTCGTGTTCGCGCCGTCCAGCACCGCCATGTTGTTATTGCTGCTGCTGCTGTTGCTCTCCTCGACCTGGCGCTCGCGCGGGACGGGCCGGGTCGACTTCAGCGGCACCGTCGCCACCGTCTGCGTATCGCTTCCGTCGAACGCAGGCCGGCTCTCCAGGTAGCGACGGATCGCCTCATCTTCCTCCTTCTGCTGCATCGCCTGACCGCGGCAGAGGATGAGGTAGAACACGTTCACGTACGAGGCACCACCGAGGAGGCCGACGAAGAGCATCCACGCGAAGAGCAGGAACGACAGCCCCGTCTCGGCGGACTGGCTGCTGTGGATCGAGATGAACTTCGTCTTCGCCTGCACCAGCCACCCCACCGCGTTGATGACCTGCAGAATGGAGATGACGCCGACGTACGGGATCTTGACGCACATGAGCGAGCTACGCGAGATGAAGACCCCGAGCTGGTAGCAAAACTGCGTGATTGTGTACGAGTTGCTGACCCAGAAGCTGCCCTCCCAGGAAACCTTGCAGTAGAAGCTGAAGGGCGCCATGAACTGCGCCGCGTACTCGGCGATGTAGACGACGCAGAGGTTGAAGAAGAACCAAAACATGCTGTTGTGCAGCATGCCCACCACGTAGCCGTTGCGGCCCCACCACCGCCGCGGGCCGGAGGTGCGAGAGCAGCACCCGCACATGAAGCGGCAACACGGGTAGTAGAGATCGTCTGTCTTGTAGTCATTCTGGTTCTCGTAGACGACCTGGTCCATCGCATCGGCGCTGCGGGAGTACAAGATGTCCTCGTCGTTCACGACGTTGCTGCCCGGTAGCTTGCCGTACATCGTCGCCGGCGGCGGGATCGTGCTCCACGACAAACCACGGAAGTTCATGATCATGCGATAGGTGTAGTCGCTGATCTCGATCTCCGGCATCCGGGCCTCCAGCTCACGCATCTTCTTGTTCTCGAAGCCGCGGTGCAGGACGACCTCCTCGGGCGGCCGGCTGCCATCCGTGTAGGTGATGGTGACGACCTTGTGCGGGGCGACAAGGCCGAAGCAGAAGACGAGCCAGTAGCACACCGCCAGCGGCAGCGTGATGAGAAAGATTACCTTCAGCGAGACCCCAGCACTCGTCAGAGCGATGAAGAGGAGGGCGGTGATGACGCCGGAGATGCCGGTGCCCGAGCCCCAGGCACCGACGATGTTCGGTGGGTAACGCTGCACAAACGAGAGCGCCACCGTCTCGCCATACGAGTACGACGTGCCCGTGAAGGCGACACCGATCAGAAGCACCACAAACGACGCCGTGTTGTTGCTGCCGCCGATGTCCCCGGCAAAGCTCACCACGAGGAGGCCAATGATCGTCCCGCACGACATGAGCGTCATGCGGATGTTGTAGGAGATGCGGTGAGCGACGAAGGCATTCATGATGCGCGCGATAATGCCGAAGAAGACGTTCATGAAAGAGATGAGGGCGACGTACTGCGTCATGCTGAAGCTCGCGGCGAGGCGGCTGGCGCCGGAGATGACTAAATTGTAGTGGAAGTTGTTGATCAAACCCTGGCACCACAGGAAGAAGGAGATGCGGATGACGTACTCGGAGAAGAGCTTCTTGAGTGCGGCCTCGTCGCGCTCGGTGCGGCTCAGTCGACGCGGGGATTCCACGTGCGGGCTATCCTCGTGGGCGTGGAGGGGTGTCGGCGACGCGTCTTCCTTTGCCGGGTCCACGTGTTTCTGCACACGCTGGAGTTTGCTGGGCTGAAGCTCGGGGACCGCCGTCGTCGTCGTCGTCGTGAGGCGTGGTGGTGCTCCTGCCGCTTCACCGCCGGCAACTTGAGCACCTTCCCGAGTTAACGCGTGCGTCGGTTCGCCGTCGGCATCGCTGAAGGCGTCCCTGCTACTATTACTAGTGTTACTCGCGCTGCCGCTGCGGCGGGGCACAAAAACTTGACGATCCATTTGTATTATTCTTGTATATATTCTCTCTCTCTCTCCTCTTCTCTCCCACTTTTTTTAAAGGCTCGCTTTGTTCGAGGCGCTACGATGTTATCAAGACAGCCAAGAAAGTGTATTGGCGTACCGTCTGGCGTGCTCGGCTCTCGCACACACGCACACGCAGGAGAAGCGACCAAGAAGATTGTTTTATAAGGAAGTTCCGCGTGGATGACTTCTGTGCTGCGAAAAAGAAGAAGAGGCTAACGGCGGAAGCAGAGGAGCACCTCAAGCGTCGGGTAAACGCGTGTGTCGATGACGGTGAGCACCACGGAAAAATATATTTAAAAAAAAACAAAGATATATGACCAAAAACAAATGCTTTAACTTTAACACCCGAGAAGAAGAGTGTGAGGCTTTTGACTTCTACCTGCTTTTTAACAACTTAAAGTGAGTACTGCGTTGCGAGACGCAACCGTTAGCGGCAACTCCACTAACAGAGTAAATAGCAATAAGTAAATGAAATGGTAGCAAAATATTTCGTGCACGTATTTTGCTTTCTTTTGTTTTGACGACAGCAACGTTAGAAGCGAGTATCGCATGAATAATATATGTGCTGTGGATTATTCGATGTGCGTAAGAGAACTATAAGGAGAAACAACAGTGACAGCAAGAACGGCACAGGCAAGAGAGCGAGAGCGGCTTCCAAAGGTGGTGACAGCCAGGGGGGTGGATAACCGGTCGACTCTCGCACGGTCAGCAAAAAACGATGAGGGAGAGAGGAAGAAGAGACACCCCCCAAAAAAAAAAAGGAAGGAGAGGCCCCCCGACGCGGTGTGAGCGAGAAAGAAACCGGCTTCGGTGTCGCGGATGTATCCGAGAAGGCAAAAAAGGGACTGCGTGGCACTGAGAGAGGAAGCAACAATAACACACACACATACACACACAGAGAAAGAGAATGGGGCGAGGAAAGTGATGGAATGAGAGAGAGAAGTAGAGGTGAATTAGCTTGAGAAAACAACACCACTCACACACACATATATATATCTATATCATAATGTAGAGTTCTTGCTTTTCACTTGTACAAACACTATTCTACCAAATGACAACAACAACAGCAGACAAACAGAGCAGCACGTTACATCCGAACAGAAATCTTCTCTTTTTTTTTTCTCTCCTTTCCTTCCTTGACCTGACTTCCATTATTAAACCGCAACAGCGCACACACGGCGCATAGAGAGCATGATCCGTTTTATTTTCCCTTTTCTTTGGGGAGGCTACACGCGTAGTCGTAACGTGCCACGAAGGAAACCAACAAAAGAAGCAGCGATACCACCACAAGAGAGGAGAATCCTCAAGGCGTCTTGTTTCCTCTGCTGTTCTCGCTGTCCTTGTCCGTCAAAAGAAAAAAAAGGAAGAAGAAAAAAAAGGAAGTGGATGTTCGCGAAGGGAGAGGGATTGCGTGTGAGAGCACTGGAGTGCGTTTTCATGGGCGTGTGCACGGCACATCGTGCAGAAGAGGCACCGCGCGGACAACAGAGGAACAGGAAGACGTCAAAGAAATAATACTGTTGTGGCGAACGGCTGCGGAGACTTCAGAAAACAAACAAACAAGCAAAATCAAACAAACAACAAATACTAAGAAAGATATATATATATATATATAAAAGAAGGCGATTGAACCACCTGCGTGTACTTCTGTTTCGGCTGGGCTTTCAGGGCGATGCGAGAAAGAAGAAAGAAGGGAGGGGCAACATCGGAGGAGGAAAAGCGAAACGAAAACAACGGAGACAGCTGCCTTTCAAAACACATTTCATGGGAACAGCGGTGGGAAAAGGCGGGGCGTGCCCCTCACAGAAAAAGAAAAGGCCCAACCACTGCAATAGCAGCAGCAGCAGCAGCAACACCCGAACAACGGCTATTTGATGTGCAAAGACAAAGCGCCAAGTGAAGCTGCCCGCGCCTGCTGCACAGCCCGCAGATGCACGGGTTCTCGCTCTCTTTCCTTCGCTCACCCCTCCCCCTACCAGAAGCATCTCTGCCATGTAAGAAAGATAACGCGCGCCAGTCCGCGTGCAGTATAGTTCTTCTTTAGGCACCTACGCAAGCGAGTACATCTTCTCTTCTTTTTTCCTTTTTACTACAAGCGCGCCGTGTACCCGACGTAGGTAAACGGTGTGATGGCGAGCAGCTCCTGGCGTACTTCGTCCGAGATGCCCTCTAGGTTCTGAATAAACGTGTGCACCGTCGCCTCCGTCACGTGGTCGTTGCCACGCGTCAGGTCCTTCAGCGCCTCGTACGGCTTCGGATAACCCTCCCGCCGCAGCACCGTCTGAATCCCCTCCGCCACCACCGCCCAGTTGTGCTCCAAGTCCGCCGCAATTGTATCCTTGTTGATGACCAGCTTGTCGAGGCCGCGACGCAGAGAGGCGAAGGCGATGAGGGCGTGGCCGAGCGGAATCCCAAGGTTGCGCAGCACCGTGCTGTCGGACAAGTCCCGCTGCAGACGTGAGATGGGAAGCTTCGCCGACAGGAAACCAAGCACCGCGTTGCTCATGCCGAGGTTACCCTCCGCGTTTTCGAAGTCGATCGGGTTCACCTTGTGCGGCATCGTGCTGCTGCCTACCTCGCCAGCTTTCACCTTCTGCGAGAAGTAGCCCATCGAGATGTACTGCCAGACATCTCGCGCGAGGTCCAGCAGGATCACATGAATGCGCGCGCACGCGTCGCAGATGGCGGCCAGGTTATCGTAGTGCTCGATCTGCGTAGTGTAGGTCTGCCGGCGCAGCCCCAGGTACTTGCGCAGAAACATCTCGCCAAACTCAATCCAGTTCACGTTCGGGTAGGCGCAGAGGTGGGCGTTGAAGTTTCCGGTTGCGCCGCCGAACTTGCCGGTGTTGGGGATGGCCAGCAGCATCGCCTTCTGCCCTTCCAACCGCTCCACCCACACCATGAATTCCTTTGCCAAGGTGGACGGACTGGCCGGCTGCCCGTGGGTGCGGGCGAGCATCGGGACGTCCCACTGCGGCAGCTTGCTGCGGATCGCCGCAATCAAGCTTTCCAGCGAGGGGATGTACTGCTGGAGCAGCGCATCCCGCAGCAGCATCGGGATCGACGTGTTATTGATGTCCTGTGAGGTGAGTCCAAAGTGGATGAACTCCCGCTCCGCCTCCAGGCCACACGCGGCCATCTTCTCCTTCAGGTAGTACTCCACCGCCTTGATGTCGTGGTTCGTGACGGCCTCGATCTCTTTGATGTGCTTCGCATCGGCCACGGTAAAGTTCTCAAAGGTAGCCGACCGCAGCCGCTTCAGCTGGTCCTCCGTCACGCCGCGCAGCTGCGTGATCGCCGGGCACTCCTTGCACAGGGCCTCAAAGTAGAGCACCTCCACCTGAACCCGGTACTTGAAGAGGGCGTACTCGGAGAAGTAGGCGCGGAGCGAGATCGTGTTGCGCTTGTAGCGGCCGTCCAGCGGGGAGAGGGCGAAGAGGGGGCTGTCTTGGCTGATCTCCGCAGGGACCTCGTGGGCCGTCGTGATCGCGGCACCGGTGGAGGGAGTCGACGACATGGTTCTTTGTTTCCCTTTCTTCTTTTCCTTTCTTGTGTATTCAACGAGCAAGGCGACACAGAAAACCTCCTCGGAAATGTGTACTCGTGCTTCAAATGGAAGGGTTGAGGGAGGTAGTTATTATTCTCTGTTTTAAAACGGCTTCTTGATGTTTCACGCAATGCCGAAGCGAATAATTGTTTATGTTTGTAGGATGAGATGGAGAAGGGGGAGAGATAAAAGTTAGTAGAAAGAAACGAGGTAGAAGAATGGCGTTTTGTTTCTTCCCTCTCCATTAACTTCGATGTTCAGTACAGGGATACACCACGACCCTCACGCTCACTCGGGGTCATTTACAACAACACTAGTTTTCGCAAGATAGCAACATATCATATTGATTTATTTATTAGTATCTTTTTCACCTGGAACGGGAACCAAGACGAACGCAGTGGCAGACTTCAAAACAAGATTAGTCCGCCCTCAAAGCGGGGCGGAGTGGGTCTGGATGGGCGGGAAAGCGAACAGAAGAGAGAACAAGGCGGAAGTCGAAGACTGTCCGTGGAAAAGGAGAAGAAAGTAGAAAGGAGTCCCCGAAGATGGTATTCACTTAGATTCCATTCAAACCATACTTCACATTCAATCATTCCTTACGCAAGCTCCCAGAAAATCATATTTCATTCGACGTAAAGGCCGTCGGTGTCCTCGACAAAGACGTCCGCCGAACTCACGCTGGCGTGCCACAGCAACTGATTGCGCACCAGATCGCAGAAGTCAGGCGGCTCGCAGTGCGGGGTAGTGGAGGAGCTCAGAAAGTTGATTTGTGGCTGTGAGAGAACATCCATCATGACATCCGCAGACAGGCGATCCCAGCGGAGTCCTTCTTCCTTTCCACCTTCCTCTTCGCTCTTGTTGTCTTGTCCGCTACCGGTGGAGCTGGCCGTGCCATGACGGCGAAGGAGCACGGGAAGAACGCGCTGCAGCGACGGTGCAACGGCTGCCGCTGTTGCTGCGGAGGTACGCCGCGCCCACCACGCTTCTTGTCGCGCAAGTGCTGTGCGTACGTAGCTGGCAAGGCTCAACAACATCCTTGACGACGAAGGCGAAGAAGTACCGCTGCCCCTGTACACCTGGAATTCCGACCACAGGCGCTGCTCCGGCGGCACTGCGGAGGCCATCGTATTCATCCTCTGCGCCACCGTCTCTGATGGCACGGTGTTGCACACCACGACAAGCCCGCCATCGCACACCTCCGCCACACCCTCCCTCTGGCCGTGCTTAACGCTTTCGTCCATCTTCGCGTTGCTTGCGTGTCCATCGCGATGACGGTGCGGTCCGGCTCCCACGGCGTCGTGGGCCGAGTCGGACTCGAGGGGCGTGATCCAGCGATACCCATGCTGCGCTGCAATACCGCGCACATCCTGCAGCGGGATCATCCGAGTGCCGGGCTGCACCGTGGCCGGCCAGCAGTGCCCCGTCGCCACGCTCAGCAGCAGCCCCCACGTCATGGGGTAGGCGTAGCGCTTCTTCGGGTTTGGGTCGACGCACCAGGGCTGAAAGGTGGTGTTGAAGGACCAAAAGCACTGCCCCTCCTCCCGCAGCCGGTGTGCGAGACGCAGCACGAACTCTTCTCCCGGTTCAGCGGAGCATCCAAGTACGGACTGCAGTTCCACTTGTTCTTGAAGTAGAACAGCCGATGCGGGTGATGACGGTGTCGGCGGAGGAGCGGGAGAACGCGGAAAGAAGGCACGAAAGACGGCCGCCAGCACCGGCGCCGCGCACTCCTTCATGCGAATGCCGCCCACGACGTACCAATCCACATGCAACAGCGGCGCTGACGCCGGTGCAGGAAGTGCCGCGCCGGCCTCCTCTGCGCTCCTTCCAGAGGATGGCGCGGAGCTGCACCCCACTGCACGCGAGACTGCCTGTAGTGTTTCGTGAAGGAGGCGAAGCGCACCTGCGGGCGAGGAGGAGGAGGACAACGTGGAGGTTGCGTAGATGCGTCTGTAATGTTCATGCACCGCGTGAACAAAGGCCGGAAGGGCGCCGGCCCATACCATCTCCTGCAAGGCAGCGGTGACGCCAGCGGTGCGATCGAGGTGAATCATGCAGGCGGTGGAAGTGCACAGACAGGCACGCAGAAGAGCCGCGCGGGCGCTCGCATCGCCTGGAAATGCGGCTTGAAGAGCGGGCAGCGAGGTGCAGGTCTCAGCGGCGCGTTGCCACACAGGATGAAGCGTCACACGACACGCCACCAGCACACACGACGTGGCATCCGGACTCAGAAGGAAGGGCGTCTCCATCACCGCCTCGTCCATCTTGGTCACCGTTTCCACGGGTGGGTCGACTCCGCTGCTGCCTCCGGTGCGTGGAGCAGTGGCTGGAGGAGGAGGAGGTGGTGGTGGCGGGGCGGCAACGACCAGGCCCGCCTCGCCCTGTAGCACCACCTGCACCATCTGCTGCGTGGCAGCGGTGGTCGCCGACGCCTTCGCGGGGGTGAGGGAGACGTTCATCATGCGCCGTGCCGCGTCGAGAGACGGATTTGGCAGCATGGCGGCGGCGTGGCGACGCAACTCTCGCGGGAAGAGATTCGCCGTTGCACAAGGCAGGGGCGCTGGCACCATGGAGAAGTCGTCCATCGCGCTTGCGCCTTCTCCGGTCGCTGCCGCTGCCGCTGCCGCTGCTGTTGTCTTCGTGTCACCCGTGTGGGACTGCGTGTACAGGATATCCACAGGTGGCATGTTCGGCGTGCAGTGCACGCTTGAAAGCCACGCACCACCACCACAGCCGTGGCTCGGTGTGACGCCAAGGGGTGCGGCAGCTGCAGATGACGTTGATGTCGATGATGATGGAGGTGGTGGCTGCTGCTGCTGCGTGCGTCCTGACCCCGCAACTGCATCCTGCATATCAACGAGTTGTTGTGGAGTGTGCAAGAACAGAGAAGGAAAGGGGTAAGGTCGCTCACCGCCTGTGTGTGTGCTTGCTGAAACATCGTATGGCGACGACTGTTGCTGCTGATTTGCCTTCTCTTCCGCGTTTGAGTCCTCCGGTGCTACGCAGGTCAGAGCGTGGCGCCTCAGCACCGCCTCTACGACCCCGACCACGTAATCCAAGTACGGCGTCGCCGATTCCGCGATGTTCTCCTCCCTTGTCCTCACCGGACTTTTTTGGCCTCCGACGAAGGTCATGGTTGTGCGCGACGTGTGCCGCTCCGTGAAGTCGCTGATGGCCCTCGTCTCGTCCGCCGTGACATTATAGAAGGGCATTGATTTCTCTTGTTAAGTGTTCTGTATTTCTATACTTCTATGTATGTGTGTGTGTGCGTAGTCTGAGTGTCGGGTACACTGTCCGATTCTTCCACATATATATATTATCCGTATTGTTGGCTTTGTGCGGTGCTGCTTACGGGGAACAGAAGGAGAACGAGAGAGAAAAAAAACGCAGGCGTGTGGCGTTACGTGGGAACAGAGGAGGACACCGAGCAAGTGGGAGAGGGAGAGAGAAGATCCGAGTAGGTCAACAGGTGAACGTCCGCAACGGATGGAGGGATTTACCCACCGAGCCCCTCGCCTTGAGATACGCACGGAGAGACGAATAGAAGCCATTCAGCAGTGTTACTATGTTGTCACCTAACTAAGAGAGAGAGAGAGATTCCCTTCCCCCGTCTGCGTTGCCTACTTTTCTATGTATCATCCGGCAAGTGTGTGCACATCCAGTCTAACCCCTCGTACAGCCCATCACCCGTGTGGGCACAGCAGCCCTGCACAAACCACTTCCGCCCGGCGAGAAGCCGTCCCAGCCCCTGCTCAGACAGGTCACGAAAGCCCAGCGCATCGACCAGCTCCGCCGGCGTCAGCCGCTGCGGCAGATCTTGCTTGTTGCACAGCACCAGCAGCGCGGCGCCCGCCAACACCGGCTCCGACAGCAACGTCCGAAGCTCCTCCTTCACCTCCGCCACACGGGCGCGGTCGTTGCTGTCTACCACAAAAATTACCGCATTCGCACCGTCGTAATACATCTTCCACAGCGTGCGCAGCCGCTTCTGACCGCCGACGTCCCACACCTGAAACGAGACTCGACCGTAGTCGACGGTCTCCACATGGAAGCCGATGGTCGGCACGGTGTCGCGTGACGCGCCGAGCTTCAGCTTATCGAGGATGGTCGTCTTGCCGGCCGCGTCGAGGCCGATCATTACAATGTTTGCCTTCTTGTTGCCGAAGAGGCTTTCAAACCAGCCGGAGATGACGTTTCCCATTACTGCCGAGTGCGGTGTACGGAGAAAAGTACAAGATGGATATATATATATATATATATATATTCGAAGTTCGGCTTTCACTCATATACACGCACCTCTACGCAACCACGCCGCCCCCACACATTGAGTTCAACGAGTAAGCAGATAAAGAAACGGAAGGCAAAATTATAATAATAAATAAGCGGAGAACAAAACGGGCGATTCGCCGAAGTGCGAGTATTATGGCTGTAAATTATGTTCTTAAATCCTATAGTACCGATGAGGACGGCGAGTAACGCTAGCAGCGGAGAGAGAGAAAGCAAGAAAAAGGAAAACTCACACGAGAAAAAAATAACGCAATTCGGATTCACAGACCCACAAACACCCAAACAAACACACATACACACAGAGACAGAGGAGAGAGGTATGCTGCCCTCCTGCTTGCGCCGTCCAACGACACGACACGCCGATACGATATATGTATATATATATAGATATTATTTACGTATGAATGTAAGGATCAACAGAGAGAGAGAGGGAGGGAGAGAGAGAGATCAGGCAGTTGCTGATGAGGAAGAACGCATCAACATGAATGGGCAAGAAGACAGAGGATGCAACGAAGAAGGAGTGTTGAGTGAAGGACGAGTGCGAGGAAGAATCTGTTTCCTGCGCCTCTTCCAGCTGTTCTGTATAGCGGAGAGAAGAGGCGCAGCAACGCAAAAACATGTTTTTCTCTTGTAAATCAAAAGGAGAACAAAGGGTGAGGTGAATACGGCGTATGCGCGCGTGCACGTGCTTTGAGCAACACGAAAGCCCCCCCTCCCCCCTCAAAGAATCAAACATACAGACAGCAATTTACCCCCTGCAAGGTGATGGCAAAGAACGCGGTATTTAGCCCGCTAGTCACTTTTTCTGCTACTCCTCTTCTTCTCTTTCACAAGCGATTCGGTCAATTCGAAATAGATATTTTTAAAGTACTTACTTCATTATCTTAACGACTTTAGCAAGAAATAGAGGTCAAAGAAACGGTGTTTTAAAAGTTAGTTTCTTTGGTTTTACACGGACAGGTGGAACACACGACGGCATCAACGCGCGTGTGTGCGAACGTAAACGACAGCAACCACAGCTACCCACACAAAACCCCCTTGCCTGACGTCGAATACAGGCGCAGATCGTTGACAAGCACGTGCATGTATCCACCGGTAAGACCTTCCCCATTTAAAGGAGCAAACGGCATCAACAACGACGACAGCGAACCACCAACACAAGAGACCCGAAGCGAACAAGGTCCGAATACATCACGACGGGGATACCTCCAAAACTTAATAATAGTAGTAGTAATCATCGAAGGCAACGAGAGCGAAGAGAGAAAAAGAGAAAAAAAAAGCCGTCTATCAACAGCCTTAATTTTTTTTCCATATAGTGTCCTACTTAGACGCGTCTTTCTTCTTTCCCGTCTTCTTCTGTGCGGCTTTGCTGCCGCTGCTCACCACCCGCGTGCCGCTTGCCCCGCCGTGGCTGCCGACTCCCTTCATCTTTGACGCACCGCCCGCAGACACGGTGACACCGTTCTTCTTGCGCAGTGCCTGCATGCTGGTAATCTTATTTACCTTGTTGTCTCCACTGCTGTGTTGCTGCTGCGGCTCGTCTTCCATGTCCTCCTCCGCCGCTGCCGCTGCAAGCATGGCTACCGAAGGACTACTCGCTGCAGCTCCACTGCCTTTCTTCGCCTTCTTGCCAGGGGTAGAAGCCGACTTCTTAGTTGACGCCTTGCCTACTCGACGCGGGGCAGCATCTTCCATGCCGAACGTGAACTCCTCCGGCTCGTCGTGATTGCTGCTGCTGCCGTCGTCGTCCCCCGCGTGCTCGTCAGCGCTGACGGCCTCTTCGTTGCCACGCGCAGCCGCCTCCGCCTCCTTCTCCATCTGCCGCCGCGCCATGCGCTCCATATCGGCCTTCGTCAGCGCGTGCCCGCCGATCGGCGCGTCTGCATCGATCGTCTCAAATCTCTGCGTCATTGGGTGCGGTGCGGTGGTGTCGGTCTTGCCGTAGAAGTTCGTCTTGGGTGGGACGAGCTGCAGCGGCTTCGTGTAGTCGTAGTGCACGTGGTTCAGCTCGGCGCGGTAGTTGTTGTTGAGGTCCTTGCGCGTGTTCGGCACCCGCGGGTCCAGCTCGGGGTTGAGGAAGTGGAAGCGCTTCTCGGGCTCCTGCGGGGGCACGGCGCTGATGCCGCCCTTGATCGTCAGCTCGAGCTTCTTGTGCAGCTGCGTGATGCGCTTCACTGTGTTCGTCGACTCCTCCTTCGCTTTCTGCCGGCGATGGAGCTTCTTCCACTTGGAACGGCTTGACTTCGCCATTTTCTTCTGGGGGTGTCGTATCCCTATTTCACACTTCTTTTACGTAGTGTGTGTATTAATGTTCTTCTGAGGTTTCTCTAGCCTCCAAAAACAACAGCGGAATAACGCAAAAGCAAAGCTGCCGGTGCTGCGGTGAATAATAATAATAAATATAATAATTGTTGTTGTGGATGGCGCCAGAGGTGTGACGTGCGGTATCGAATGCGTAAGAAGGAGGGAAGACGAATTTGCCGGGTAGGTCAGTGTTGGAGAGGAGGAAGGAGGGGGAGGCAACGGAGGCGATCGAAAAGCAAGAGGAAAGACGAGAGGACGGAGAAGAGAAGGGGATGCGCCACCGATGCCACACACCACCGCCCAGCGCGGGCAATGGACGAAAACTTCATTGTGTGTTGTTCCCGCCGCATAAAGACAGTCAGCGACAACGACAGTAATCCGACACGTTGCCCGCAGAAGCACAGCGCAGCCGCCACAAATTGAGCGCTTCATCGCTGCTGCACACACCGATTTCCCATCACCAGGCGACGCTCTGCTCGGGCAGGCTAAAGCCGCTCCCCGCCTTCTTCATCGCCGTGATTATCACTGTCATTATCTTTATTGCTTTTCCCTTTGATGTTTCGGTTGGCGCAACTAAATGAAGGAGTTGTGTCGACCCCATTGCGGGTCTGTTAGGGTCAGAGCAGGGTAGCAGTTCATGGACATCTTTCCCGTGCCACAACACTCACTCAGCGTAAAACAACTAGTAATATTAAAAAAAAAAACAACAAGACCAGGACCTACACCGAACCAACACCGATGCAAATGCACTAAGAATAGGAATACGAAGAACAAAGCTTGTGGCTTTCATGGACAAAGAGGTGCCCATGAGCACAGTCGCACACACACGGAAAACAACATATACAACGACACAGAAGAGAAGAAGAAAACGACGGTGAGCTGTTGAGGGGGAGGGGGGGGGGGGGGCGGGGAACTACGTGCGTGTCCGCGGCTCTGCCGTCGGCGCTGGCGAGAGCGAGTCCACCGCTGGACTGCCGCCCTGATTGTGCTGCTCACGCTGCCCGCTCACCGGGGCGCCACCACGCCCTCCAACGTCGCGGCTCTGTCCTTGGCCATCGTGCCCGTCTGGGGCGGCTGCTGCGTGGGACGCGGGGTCCACGGAGCCTGGCGATGACGATGGCAATGACGACGGCTGGTGGCGCGTCTTCGAAGGCTGACGTGGATGGTGGGCGTGTTGCTGTTGCTGTTGCTGTTGCTGAGGCGCGAAGGCTGCTGCTGCGCCACGAGTTTCATGCGCGCTGACCTGCCGACGCGGCCCAGTGCGTGAGTGACCGCCGCGCGCACCTTGTTGCTGCTGCTGCTGCTGCGGATACTGTTGCGTTGTACTCTCCCTCGCTCCTCCACGACCTGCGTAGTTCATCGATGGGTTGGCGGGCCGTGGGTACGGCCCCGTCATCGGTACGGTCGGCTGTCCCCCTCCTCCCCCGTCACCACCACCTCCAGCGACTGCGGGATTCCAGACGGCTTCGTTATACACGTTCGGGTACGCGGCGTAGGCAGCGTAGTACTGCTGCTGTTGCGGTTTCTGTTGTTGCGGTGGCGGAGGGGCGGTATTTGTCGGTCCAGCAGGCATGATTGCCGGGGAAGCCGGCGACAGCGCGGCCGCGGCGGCGTTGCTCGCGGGACTCCCCTCAGCGCCCTGCTCATGAGACAGCCTACTCCGCGCAGCTTCTGTCTTTTGCTGCTGCTGCTGCTGCTGCTGAAGCTGCTGCTGCTGCTGTTCTTGCATCCACAGGTACTGCTGAACGTCGTAATGCAGGAGTGGAAAAGGGTAGTTAGTCGAGTTCGACGTCGCTGCTACCGCTTGCTGTGGTTGCTGCCGATAGGCTAGCTGCTGGGAGGGGTAGAGCATCGCCTGGGGTGAGGCATAAAAGTTCGGTGCGGCAGCCATGCTATACGGCTGTTGCGGTTGCTGCTGCGCCTGAGGCGGTTGCTGTGGAATGTAGGCGTTGTTCATGTTCGCATAGGCTTGATAGTAGAACGCAGTTGCTTGGGCCGTCTGCTGATTCTGTTGTGGTGGCGGCTGTTGCTGCATGTCGTAATACACCATTTCCTCTCCGTACGGTCTACCGTACGCCTGCTGTGAAGTCTGCTGAGGGTAGCCACCGGCGAACATCGGCATCGGCACGCTTCCTTGTGTGCCGCCGCCACCGTTGTTGATGCTGCCGTGGTCGCTGACATTATCATGCGGCATCGCCGCCATCACGGCAGCGTCCGCGTCCGCGTCTTCGTCAAACACAATGGCATCGTCGATATCCACGTTCTCCGCTGCCTGCTGTGCCGCGTCTTCACTGGAAACTCCATCCAGCGGGCTTTTATCATTGCTCGTGTGCTCATCCTCGCGGGTGCTACCCGCCGATGTCGTTGTCCCGCCGTCACTCATCACGTGGAACGTCATTGCAACTTCACCCCCCTCCCCCTCCCCCTCCCGCGTGACGACGTTCGGGTTGTGGGATGTTGTTGTCGGCGCGGTGGCCGGCGGCGCGCCGTAGGCCACAAAGCCCTCCAGTGTTTCGCGTGAGTCAACGTACGGCAGCTGCTGCAGGGACGGAAACGACGCCTGGCGGTGGCAGCGCGCGCTGGCGTCGCCGTCGGTGCGCACCGACTCCGCCGTGGGATGGCTGCTGTCGGAGCGCTCAACAAGACCTGAGCTGACGTTGTGGTGGTAGTGGTAATGATGGCTATGTGGACTGCTAGTGTCGTAGAGGAACGTAGTCGGCGCGTCCGCCCCGCCGCAAGAAGATGCGTTGTTGTCGTTGCGCATCCCTGTCGCTGTTGTTGCTGCCGCCCCTGCGGCAACAGGGGCACCGGTGGGAGAGAAGTGGTACTGCTGCTGCTGTTGCTGAAACTGAAGATCGGTCGTCCTTTGCTGCCCATAGGATGACATCGCCGCATATTTTTGCTGCTGCTGTTGCTGCTGCATGAGGATAGCTTCGGGGTTTGAATCCTGGCGGCGGCTGTTGCTGTGGTTTTGAGTGTCCGCCACGAAGTCGTCCCCTGCAGGTCTGTTGCTCATCATCACCGTACTTGCATGCTGCATCTCTTGCTGTTGTTCCTGCTGCTGTGCCGCGTTGGGCATCCCGCCTCCGTTCACACCCACGCCCGACTGCGGTTGTTGCGAAGGATAAGACTGCTGCTGCTGCGGTGGCTGCTGTGCAGGGTAGTGCATCGGTGCTTGAACGCCGCCCATGCCCCCTGCATCCTCGCGACGGCGCTGCTGGGCAGCTGCCTGTGCGACGGCGTAGGCCTCCTCCATCAGTGTCTGGTGCACGGCCTGACAGTCGGCGTCGGCGGTCTGCGGGGAAAGGCACTGCAGGACGTACTGAAGGCTGCAGCCTCCGTAGTACATGGGCGACTGCCGGGCGGCGCCCCACTCGGTGAACCACCAGCACAGCCACTGAAAGTCCCGCATGTGTGTCATGCGCGCTGTCAGGTCGTACTCCGGATCAAAGGGGGAGGTGAGGTGGAAGTGCTGACCTCTGCGAGAGCACAGGCACGGCTTCTCCACCACCTCCGAGCTGCCGTCGATGGAGAAGCGAATGCCACCCGCTTCGTAGTCGAAGGCGCAGCCGTAGTAGTGGCAGAAGTCGAGGAAGGCGTCGGAGACTTTGACCTGCCGTTGAAGGAAGTCTTCCGCGAACTTTTCGTAGGCCTCGACGGAGGATGACTGGGGCGGCGGTGATGATGGAGGAAGGGGCTCCCCTTCTTCTGCTGCTCCTTCATTCGCATCGTGCTTGGAGACAGTCATCGCATCCTCCGCATTGTCGTCTTGTTTGCTGTCCGCATTCGGTTGGATTGCTGCCGTTGTGGCTCGACCGTCGCTGGCCGCATCCGCCGTTTCTTCTTCTTCTCTTGTCGTCTCCATGCTGACGGCGTGCGTGTCGCCCGCCCCTTCACCATCAACAGCGGCGCGGCTTTCCTTCCCCGCATCCGCCGCCGTACCCTCCGCCCTTTCGTCCCTCACACCCACCTCGGCCAACTCCGCCAGGCGGCTCCCCTCCTTCTGCTGTGGTGTGCTGGCGATGTGTGGAGCCGCCACCGCGCCGTCTGCCTCCTCCGTGTCCCGTCCTGCAGCTTCCTTCTCTTCCGTTGCGGCAACGGTGGCATCCGCAGCGCCGGGACTCAGCTCGTGCGGCTGCGGCTCTACCATCTTTAACAAGTAATGATGCAGCCGCGGTGCGTGTCGTCCACGGCTGTCCTGACCGCTGTCGGTGTGACTGTTCACGTCCCCATCTGGCACTCCTGCTGCCGCTACGCCCGGCGGCAGAGGGGCGCTGCTGTCACCCAGCACAGCACCCGAACTGTCCTCCACACCGGTCACGGATGCTGGAAGGTTTCGCTGCGAATGTGGTGGCTGGGGCGGTGGCTGTTCCTCTCTACTGTCCTCCTTGGAAAAGGCATTCGATGGACCCGGCACCACCCCGGTCAACGCCGCGCTGGGCTTGCCGATGAAACCGAGAATCATCTCTCGGATGAGCTGCAGGTGGGCCTTGTCTGCGCTGCCGTAGGCTGCCCGAATTGTCGCACACGCACCGACGCTGCTACTCCGACTACCCCGCTCGTTGACGTGTGTGACGGCGGACGGCGAAGAGGGAGAAGAAATAGCGGTGGACGTCGCCGTTTCCTTGTCATGATCGTGCTCTGCGTTGTCTGGTGGTGCATTCATATCTGTCACCGCGGCTGTCGCGTCTGCAGTGCTGTTCGCTGCCGCTGCTTCTGCCGTCTTCGCCTCTAACATCTGTGCGTGCCGCTGCTCCACACGTGCCAGGTATTCACCCAGGAAGCTTTCCAGCAGGCCGAGATCAAGCGGAGGTCCCGTTGTCGCTGTCGCTGTCGTCGATGCTGCTGCTGTTATGGTGGGTGATGCCGTTGCGGCTGGTTGGGAATAGGCCCCCGTGGGGGATGGAGCAGCACCACGACCGCTGGGCTGCTGCTCCTCTACCGCGGAGAGACGCGGCAGGGGGGTGGCGCTGCGCACCGTGTTGTCCTCCACACGAGCGGCGTGCGCGTGTGGAGAGGTTGCTTGCACCATGTCGTTGTAGGTCGTCGCTGATGGTCCCGCTGCTGCTGCTGCGGCGGCGGATAGGGCGGCGGCCTCGCGCTCTTGCAAAATCAAAAGGACCCGCTTGCGGCATTCGTTGTAGAAGTGCAGAACCATCAAATAGATCGTGAAGGACGTCACCCCGCCCGGCTCGCTCTCGCCGATGCCGAGGCTTCGGACGCAGAACTTCAATAACAGGATGAGCGGCCGCGCCTGCGGGAAGACGTCGAGCAGCGACCGCGTGAGCTGCATGGAGCGCCAGTGCTCCCCACCCGCGAAAGTGATGTCGACCTTCGTCCCGGTAGCCTTGTCGGTGAGCTTGATGACCGGCACGCGGGTCGCCGTGATCGCCTGCACGTAGAAGAACTGTCCGTCGTGCACCGGGACAAAGGTGAGGTGACTGCCGGGCCGGCCGCCCACGGGCGGGTCCAGCACCGTAGTCGACGGCGCGCCTTTCTTGATGATGGAGGGCCTTTGCGCAGCCGCTGCTGTTGCTGATGTTGTTGTGGTGGGCGCAGCAGTCGTCGCTGCAGCGGTGGCATCGGCGGTGCTAGTGATGACAGTGACTGCTGCTGCTGTCGACTCCGCTACCTTTTCCTTTGCGGTGGCGACCTCGCCTTCCTCCGAACGCGTCCTCGTCGCTTGTGTCTCTGTTGCTGCTTGTGGGGTGCCGGCGTCAACTCCGCGGTGCTGCTGCTTTTCGTGCCTCCCTGCTTCTTCTTCGCCTTGCACGTGCGCGCTCGCCGTCTTGCGAGCGCTTCCCCCGCCGCTCGTGCCGCCCGCAGGGGCACTTGCATCCCTAGCAGACGAAGCGGAAAACGAAGGCGAAGACGTCGCGGAAGAGGTGTCGGAGGAGTGAGCCGACGTGGACGATGCCGTCGACGAGGAGGAGGAAAGGCGGGCATCGCTGGCGGTGGCGGTTCCCGTTGCCGTCGTCGTCACGGCGGCCGCAGCCGCACTCGCCCTGTCTCGAGTTGCAGAGGCCGGCGCGGAGAACGGCGGCCGCGACAACGACCCGGTCAACTGGGACGGCGACGACGGCATCTTTGGTGATGTCAATCCGCCACCCCCACCACCAACTCCGCCACCGCTGCTGCTGCTGCCTCCCATCAGGGGGGCAAATAACGTGGAGACGTCCAACGTGGTGCTGAAGCTGTAGTCCTTTTCGATCTGGTCGCGAAAGACCTCCTCTGCCTGCTCGACGTCGTCGACGGTGCCGTAAACCTCCGTCTCCTCCGCGGCGATGTTGTCGAAGTCGCCGTAGCCCCGCCTCGCCGGCCCAGCAGCCGCTGCGGTGGCGGAGGTGGTGGTAGTGCAGTGCGCCCTTGCCGCTCCTCTTGCTACTCCTTCCTTGACCTGTTTCGCTGCCTTGGTGCCGGCTCCGTAGTGTCCCACCACCACAGCGTCGTCATCGTCGTCGCCCGCCGCGAGCAGCGCGGTGGTGGCCGTGAGGAAGGCCTTGCGACCGTCGAGGGCGTAGCCGAAGGGCCGCTGCGACGGCGTGTCAACCGACTCCGCCGTTCCCGCACTCGCAGCAGTGGAGGGGGATGTCGTCGGTGGTACGGCAATACCGGAGACAGCCACAGAACTGTTCTCTGCCACGGTGCTTGGCGAAGCGCTGGTGGAAAGCCTGCTGACTTCTCCGTTGTCTGCCGTCGCATTGTTGTCCTCTTCCTTTGACGCATCAGTACTGCTGTGTGCTGTCGTACTGTTGCTGCTGTTCGAGGGCTTCTCCTGCTTATCGGCTTGCTCTGTGAGCGAGGTAGAGGAAGGGTTCTCTTGTGTGCCTGCACTCGTCGATGCAGGTGCCTGTGTGTCACCCGCACCCCCATTTCCCTGCTGCTGCTCCGCCAGCTTCTGTCGGTGCTTTTCCTGCTCGACGCTTTCCTGAAACTCCAACGCGTCCTTCAAACTTGCGTCGTCGAGCTCAATTAGCGCCTGCGATAACATCTGCAGCGCTTCCAACGGGGCGATGGGCTGGTAGCCAACAACCAGCACGTCCACGTCGCTCGAGGGCAGGGCCAGCCCCGTCGTGATCGAGCCGTGCACGCGTAGCTCCGCATTTTTGGTGAGGCTGTGACGAAGCACCGCCTCAATCGTCCAACACAGCTGCTCCCGCGCCGCCTCGTCCTCGGGTTGCAGCGTCAAGCAGGTAGACACAAAGGTCGGCAGCACCGTGATGAAATCGTAGTACGGCATCGGACACCGCAGCGCACTACTATTTCTGTTGTTGCTGTGCAGCACGGCGGATCGACGGTGACTCATCCCACTCGGAGTGTTCCTGTTCATCCCACCGCTCGCTATCTGATCCGTGTAGAGAGCCGGGTTCATGTAGTTGTTACTGTGCTGCTGCTGCTGCTGCTGATGGCGATGCTGATGGTGATTTGCACTGTAGCGACCACCCTGTGCCGCGCCAGCTCCACTACCACCACCACCAGCGCTGGCGTTCCTGAAGTTGCTGTTGTACGTGTTCATCCCTGGGCCGCCCATCATTGCAGGGCTGCCATTGGCGTTGTACATCTGCTGAGCCGCCGCATTGGTACTGCTCGTTTGGTGGTGACTCGCGCTGCCAGGGTTCGTGTTGGGCCCCCGGCTGTTGGTGCGATTCGGGCTGCTGCTGCTGTTGCTGCCTCCACCCGTATTCGTCTTCTGTCCTTTTGCGCTGCCGCTGACATTCGTTTTCGTGTTAGCTGAGCCGCTCCAGCCAACGTTGGCGCCGTGCAGCGTCGACGTCGGGAACGGAGACGACGACCACTCCTCTGCGTATTGCAGTTCCGGTGCCTGATCTTGCGGCGACTGCTGCTGCTGCTGCTGCTGCTGAAATGCATGTCCGCCATACTCGTTACCACTCTGCGCCGCGTTGGCGTCCTCCGCGGTGATCTCCCCGCCTCTGCCACGCAGGTGTGGGTTCGTGCGTGTGGTGGCGGGACCGCTGCTGTTTCCGCTGTACGACGATGACGTCCGGTCATGTGGTGCGCTGCCCGCTGGAGGGGCAAACGTGACCGGCGAGTGGTGTTGATGGTGGTGATGTCGTGATACACCGCTGCCGCCCTGAACAGGCGTTGGGCTCTCCACGAAAGCAGAGAGGCCCCCCGCAGCAACCGCCGCATTACTACTCCCACCGCTGCCGGCGTGGGGGCCGTGCATCGGAGAATGCACCAAGGTACCAGCCGCACCGACGCGAATCGTGGGGAGCTGTCCGCGCTGCAGTTGCAACATCGAGCTCGACGATGACGACGACGACAGCGCGGGGACGCGCGCTGCTGTTGCGGTTGATGTCGTGGCGTTATTGGAGGCGGTGTGCGGTAATTGCTGTTGCTGCTGCTGCTGCTGCGGTGTTGGTGACCCAGTGGAGGCGACGTTACTTGTCACCTTCGCGGCTGCGTTCGATGACGCGTGAAGGACCTCGGCACCTCGACCGCGGTGCAGCCCTCCGCCACGCGTCGGACCCGCCGCAACTACTGCTGTCGCTGCTGTGGTGGAGGTCGGCGATGGCTCTTGTGACGCTGTCGTGGCGGCAGACGTGGTGTATGGGTCGAACATTGTCCCGGCGGCACCGCTGCCTCGGTAAGCGCTACCACCGCCGTGACTGCTCGTGCTTTCTACGGCCGGCAACGGCAACGGCTGCTGCTGCTGATGTGGTCTCAGTGAAGTGAGAATACCCGCTGAGTTGTAATAGTTCAACTGCGGCTGCAGAGCAGCAGGCGAGGCGTAGGCGTTGTACATCGGATAATGATGCTGCTGCATGGGATGCGCGTTCGGGCCCACCAGCTCCTGTACCGGAGACTCGCCGGCGCTGCTCGTCGCGATTGAACTTGCTGCTGCTGCCGCAAGAGGGTTCATGTGATGCCCTCCGTAGTTCATCATCGCTTCCCCAGCGAGACTGCTGTTATTATTAATCTTGTTGGTGCTGCTGCTGCTGCTGCTGCTGCTGACTCCGGTATTCGCAGAACGCAGCGTTACGTAGCCCGCCGCCGCTGCTGCTGCTGCCGATGCCGCCATCTCTGCCATCGTTTCACTGCTCACCATTGCAGCGGCAACGGCGAGGGACGGATGCCAGCCAGGACGACGACTTAACCCACACGTGTTCGCCGCCGCAACAGCCGCAGCCACCGTACCGGCTGTTGCTCTGGCGGATACAGGGACCTGTGGTTGCTTGCCAGCCTCTTCCCCAGCGTCCGCTGCACCCCCGACAGCGGCTTCGATACTGGGTGTGACAGCGGGCACCGGCATCTCGCTCATCTGCGCTTCCACCACCGCTGCTCCTGCTGCGTTGGCGGCTGCCTTCATCGCTCGCAGCTTCCGTTTGCGCTTAGCCGATCGCGACTGACTCGGTCCGCAAAACTCCTCCGCGGTGAGAGTCTCCAACAGTGCAGACAATGTATCAACATTAGTAGGAGTACAAGAAGTATTAGGGGTAATCGCTGTAGTGGCGGTATCTGCCGTCGCACGTGCGGTGTCTGGCTCCGAAGTCGAAGCCTGCGCAGTCGAGGGCGACGAGGCTGGCGGCATGCTGTGCTTTTCGGGCGTGTGCCGCGCTGCCGCAGACGCAGCGACACCGCCTGCACGTCGTGCCACCGCCACGTAAGACGACCCACCACCACCACCACCGCCACTGGCCTCTGCGAGTGAAAGTGAATGGTGTGAGTGGGCCGAAGCATCACGATGGCGTTGCTGCTGCTGCTCGTGCCCATGCGGCGGGGCGCTACTGCTGCTACTACCACCATGCGAGTTCACGGCACCAGATTTGCTTGCGGCATTTACCTCATTTACACTCGGCGGCAACAGAGCGGCAGTGCCGGCGGTGCCCTCTCGCAGACGGGCGGCCATGGTAACGGTTGGCGTGGTTAGCGTGGAGCTGGGCGAAACTCCTTTCAATGTGGACGCTGCCGTCGCTGTCTCTGTCGCTGGCGCTGCAGATGCAGGTGGCGATTTCGCGGAGGAGGTCGATGGATTTCTTGCCGTTGAAGTAGCAGCAGCAGCACCAGGCGTGCTACGGGAGTTGAAAGCGCCACTGCTTTCTGGTGAAAAAGCTGGTGAGCGGACGATCGTGGTCGCCGCCGCCGGAGTCGCAGTGGGAGATGCGTGCTGCTCCGTCGGCGACGAAGACGCTATCGGTGCTTGGGAATGCGACTGCGTTGTGTGCCGAGACGCATCATCGCGCGCGTGTGGGGGGCGGTACAGCTTCGAGACCGGCGTCGTTGTCGTTGTTGCTGTTGTGGCGGCTGCGGTGGGGGTCGGTGGTGCCGATCCTACCAAATTATCTCTGCCGCCGACGTGCCCGAGCGAGGGGCCACCTGCATTCTTCTGCGGATTTGCGTGCCCGTTCATTAGAGGGGAAGGCGTTGCTGCTGCTGATGGTGCTGCAGGTGCGGACTCTGCCGAGGGCGGCGAAGACGATGACGACCCAGGCAGCGCCGGCTGAATGCGGTCTAGCAACGACGTGCCCGCTGCCAGCGCCGGCGCCGTCTTCGAGCCACCGCTTGGAAGAAGCACCGGCGTAATACTCCCAGCCGGTCCACCGCCCGCCGCTGTTGCTGTTGGGCCTCCTCCACCGTCTCTGTGTGAGGCAGACGCCGCCGATGCCGTGGTGGCACCGCTGGGCTTCACAAAGGCCCTGCTCAGCGCCGCAAATCGGTTCATGCCGGTGAGAACGGCCTCCACGTGGGCCTCGGCAGAGATGACAGCCGGAGAGGCAGACGTGTGGGATGTGGGTGAGGCGGCGGAGGGCCGCGACGGCGACGACGACGACAACGTCGTGGATGACGTGTTGCTCTCCATGATTATAAGAAAAAAAAAGTAAGTATATCGGATGAATGTAGTGTGCTTGTCGTCGAAGAAAATAATATTAATACTAATAACCCCCCCCCTTACAATAACAGAGGGTTTCTTGTTTCCTTTCTTATTTCTCTCAAGACGATGTGCAGCGAGTATTCCGCCACACGCAAAACACCGGCCAGCTCTTGACCGACGGTTGCTTGAAGGAGCAAAAGAAACCAATCAGAAAAACAAAACAAAGAAAACCAAGCGCGCTCTTCTTCCTCTCCTTCCGCTGTTTCAACGACTGCCGTGTGCACCGCCGTTGGTCGTCGAGGGGAGCTTTCTATCAGAGTGATTCTCTTCTCTCCTTGTTCTTGTATATTATATTATTTTTCTGTCTTTGACGGGGTAATATGAAATCTTTTTCCTTTTCCCTTGTTATGTGCGTGCGTGCCGCGTGTCAAAAAGGCGGCGCTTCAGTTGAAATAAAACAAAAATCCAGAGAAAGAACAACGACAACAACGAAAGAAACGGTGGCAGCGGCGACGGGACACCACACTGAAAACTCCCCAAACTATCAAACAATCAAACAAACAACGGCAAAGTGAAGAAGAAGACGGAGAAGAAGACCAAAAAGAAGCGGTTCCCACACAAATGCGAAGGGGATTCACGCAAGCAGACAAGGGTTCACAGCAAGGCAGCGACGGCACAGAGGGGGGAAAAGGAAAAGGAAAAGAGAAGAGAGTAGATAATTTGGTCTCTATAGGTAGCGAGGGAGGTGGCGTGAACACGGCCACTCAAAACAACACACGTAAAAAAGCCAACAAAACAAAGAGAGATGTGTTCAGAACACAGTCATAAAAGGAAGAAAAACAATCCCGTAGTAACAACGAAGAGAGAGAGAGAGATGAGCGCTTCCGGTTTAGGATCCTTTCAGCGATGGAAGAGAAAAAATGAAACGTTCTCCTTTTCGATTAATTAAACTTTAAATATATATTTTCTCGCAGTGTGTGCGTGTGTGTGTGTGTTGATCGCTGTGCTTCGTGTTGACGTGCTGGCGTGCGTCGCTTGGCAGAATTGGTTTCGTATTTCCTCTTCCCTTTAGCTACAATTCAAAAACAAAAGAGAAGAAAATAGGGATAACAAGAAACAACAGCAGGAAAAAAAATGCTACAATATATATATATATATATATATATATATATCAAAGAGAGGAAGCTCGAGGTGTGCAATCTGAAGCGAGCGGGATGAGTGCGTGCGTGTGTGCGTGCGTGCGTGCGAGTCACCTAAATTCGAATCCTTGAGTACCCTCCCCTTTTCTTTTCATGTGAGACACGTGGCGAAACAACCTACTGTCGGCACCACCAGGCCTCGTGTAGGAAGGGAAAAAACAATCAAACAAACAAATTGTGAGGGGTGAGGGAAGGATAATACTTCGCTGCTGGGCTGTGTGTGGTCCGATTCATCAGCACAGCAATTATGATCACCATCACCATAATGGTAAGAGTTAGAGAATGGAAATAAAAAAGAGAGAAGGAACATAAAAGGTAGTTTTTCGTGTAGCGAATCAGCAACGGAGCAACCGTGTTGCTCTCACCCGACGGCGAACGCGTTGACATCAACGCCTCGTTCGTTGAAGCTGCTGTTGTCGTCAACATCGACTTCACGTTTCTCCCTACGTGCTGCTTACGCGTTCTCGCGTTAGAATGACGAGGAGCGGCACCACTGTTAAAACACTATTTCCGTACACTTAAGAAAAAATATATATCATGTATGTGTCCTCGCTAATTGAGACCTGGCGGTGACACGGCTGCTTTCACCTGCCTTCTTTACACTTCATCCTTTCATCGAATTCCCTACCCATCCAGATACGCAGACACATTACACACGTGCACGTCCATGCACTGCCGTCCCACTCCTCTGTGAGTTTGCTGACCAGCGAGTAATGCAAAGGGGCGAATAAAAAGAGAAAAGAAAAGAAAAAGAATAGCATAGAAATCATAAAGAGAGTGTTGGGGGAGGGGAGGAGGAGGAAGAGGAGGAGGAGTAGGAGGAGGAGGAGGAGGAGGAGGAGGAGGAGGAGAGGGCGTCAACACTCAAAACGGGTACAGAAGAAGAAAAAAGGTCACATAAAACGTTTGAGGAGCGCTGAAGGCGAGCACGGACACCGATAGAAATAGAAATATACTTATATATAAAACCACCACAGTGACAAGAAGGCAGGAAGATGCCGATACGGACTCCCTCCCTCCCCTCCCCTGCAAAGAAAGAAAAGATTGACAATTGATTTTGCCCACCCACCCACACTTACAGACAGACAGACCCACTGGTATTCCTTAAAGCAACCGCTCCTGACTTTTGCGCCCGGTCTCCACACGGAGTCTTGCCGCGCCGAGAAATGTCAAAAGCCGCCGTGGCTGCACGTAGACGCACAACTCCCGCACAAGGTGGTACACCACACACGCAAAACCCAGCGGAAGGGCAACGCTGACGTACAGGTACGCCATCTGAAGGTAGCGCTCGTTCAGCAGGGTGAGCAGGAGCGCGACTTGGTTCGGCGTGGTCCACGCCACCGCCGCCGCGGCGTCGTCCCTGTTGGATGGACGAATGCCGCTGACACACACCGGCGGCATGAGCCACACAAGCGACCGAAGTACGCGCTGCCCCGCCGTGCAGGTGTACGCACTGGACGACAGGAGTGACGTTGGCACGACGGGGGACTCGCGTTGCTCGGTCGCTGCTGCTGCTGCCGCTGTTGCAGAGTCCACCGCGAACATCGCCGCCGCTGCACGACGGACAATGACACGCCACTGCCATGCGAAGTATAGCAGCGCCGCGAGGACGTTGACGAAGGAGAGGAGCAGCACCACGTAGGCGATGGACAGTCACGGGCCCTGGCGGGAGAGCCCCGCTGCCGCCGCATGCGAAGATGAAGCGGCAAAGGAGCAGGGATAGTCTTCCAAGGCCGTCAAACAATCTCCCTCCTCTTCCTCCTCCCGATTGAGGCGCGGTGCAGTGCAGCCCTCGCACAAGACGCCACCGCGGAAGCGGCGGTGACCGCAGAGGCGACGCAGCCGCATGAAAAGGTCTGGGAGATGCAGCTTATCTCGCCAGTGCGCAAGAGAATCGGAAAAGGCGGAGTCGGTGAAGGCAGCTGGGCGAGCAGACGGTGCAAGTCGGTGCGCGGCCGGTGCTGCGACGACCGGTGTCGCAGGCGCACTGCGGAAGACGTGACGGCTACTATCCCCATTCGTGCTGCCGGTGCTGCTGCCATGTTGAAGCAGGTCCGTGGAGGGCAGGCGTCGAAGGAAGCTGCTGCCCGAGGAACGCGCCGCTGGTGACGTGACGGTGGGAAATCCGTCCTGTCCGCCCGTCAGCGGCGAGATCGACGCGGAGAGGGATGGGGTTGCCTCCACGATAGCCATACCGTAGGATGACGACGACGTGGCCGCTGTTGCTACTGCTGCTGCTGCTGCGACGGTGGATATGGCGGAAGCGGCCGGCCGCGGCGGACTGCGGAGGGGACGCACGCGTGGCATCCATGAGTCTGCGTTGTCGTAAGCGCTGCTGCTACTGATATTGTTGTCGAACTCTTCTTCGTCTTCCGCGTCTTCGTTCGAGTGGTGCGGGCGAGTCAGCGGTGTCTCGTGAGGGCCGTGGCGCAGCCACACCGTGCCTAACGCCATCTCGCTCTCGTACCCGCTGGGGCTGTGGCGGAAGCTGTCGCTGTCAGCGCCCGCGCGAGCACCGACGCTGTTCTCGAATAGGAATGTTGAATCGCCCACATTCGCCGCCGCCGCCGCCGTGTGCTCACCTCCTCCTGCGGGCTCGTTCGAAGAGAGACGCAGCGACGTTGAAAGGTCGTGGCTTTTCCCTGCTGCAACTGCATCGGCTGCTGCGCGGAGACGCGTGTTGAGTGGGGGGCGTTGATGACAGCTTTTGTGGAACGCCGGCGACTCGTGTGCGCTTGGGGAAGGACGACGCAGCAGCGGCACGGGGGCCACCTCCGGCTGCGGGTGCGGGACGCAGCAGCCACACCACTGCACCCACCGCAGCGCCTGCAGACTCGATGCGGCGGCGGCAGCAGCAGCGCCTCTTTGCACGCGACGCTGACGGGTAAGCTCCGCCGAGTCCCCACGTAGTAGGGGTTGCAGCTGACGTGTTAGTTGAGAGCGGTACCAGTGTCCCCCCGCAAAGAGAAACAGAAAGGCCGCGGTGGCGATGACGCCAGACGGGATGAGCCAGATGTACAGCGCGTCGTTCCGCTCAAACTGAAAGCTAAACCACGCAAAGTAGAAGTCAACGCAAAGACGCCAGGTGAAGAAGATGAGACAGATCAAAAAGCCGAGATGGAGCGCCATCGGCGCCAACGACGGCTGCGTGGCAGACAAGGAGGAGATGCGGGACGTGTCGGTGTGTGCGTGCTGCTGCAGCGGCGGCGGCGGCGGCGAGCCAACGTGTGAAGATGCCGGAGCGCGACGCCTGCGATCGCGTGGCGCCGCGTCGGATGTGCCGGCGAGGTTTTCTTGTTTCGGGGCCCAATTCCAAATGTCCGACGGTCCGTCCTTGCTCTTCTTCTCTGCACCACCACCACCAGTGCCCCAGAGCGAGCCGAGGGTGCGCTTCATCGCCTGAACAGGGGTTTTATGCAGAAGGCGCTTGACGAGTGTGGTCAGCTTTGCTGCTTTCCGCGGTGGCGTCGGCGGGGCTGTGGGGCCCACGGAGGGCGACACGATCAGGCCCGCCGCCGCGGCTGTGTTCCAAACGTGCTGAGACGATAGCACGCCCTCATGTCGAGTGTCGCTGGCGGAGTACAGTACAGATGCGCTGTTGCCGTTCGCTACACCGGCCGGCGATGTCGGTGGCGAAGGTCGAGACACCGAAAAGGAAAAATGCTGCTGCTGTAGATGTTGAAGATAGTGGTGTGCTACGCCGCGCGGGCGAACCAAAGAGTTGCCGTTGCTGGATTGGGGAGAGAAGATGGGGTGGTCGAGGGATGCGACGGGGACGCATGCGGCACCGACTTCTCCGGTTGGTCCAGCCCCACCCCCGGCGGAGGAATGGCAGAGCAACGGCGGCAGCATCCAGCGATTGGCGTAGCGGTCCTCGAACTGCCGACCTCCACCACGCCCGGTGTTCGCGCGTGCCTGTCGCACAACAGCGTAAACAAACAGACTCATCAACGCGAGCTCGAGAAGAAACAGGCCAACTTCTGGATGGTGGCGGGTAATGGGGTAGAGATGAAGGTCGGGCTGGGCGGCGGCTTCCTCGGCCGTCGACGGCACCGGCAGAACACACGGGAGGGTGTACCACACGCACAGATGTGGCAGCGTCAGGACGACGACGAGGCGCACCACGGTCATGGCCCAGCTGTCGCGCCACTGCGTCCTACCACAGTGACCACCACCACCAACATTACCACTGCTGCTGCTGTTGCTGCTGATGTCACTACTGCTATCCGCGCTACTTCTCCGTTGTAATTCCTTGCCTGCATGTGCGGTAGGTCGCGCTGCGGACAGGACGGCCGCGTACGTGATATGATGAGACGACCCCCGCGGAGCGCCGCTGCTTCTGTGAGAAGGAGCGCTCTTCATCCCTGATCCGACGTCTGCGTAAACGGCCGTGCTCGACGTGCTTGTGTCGTCTTCGCATAGAGTATGGATATGGCTGCCATCCGCATCGTCGTCTGCCTCCCAAAAGGAGAAAGCGTTGCCACCGCTGCTGCTCCTGGTGCTCCTGTTCCTGCGCATGCTAGCTGCAGCCTTCGCGGAATCAGTGGAGCTCACTGCGGCAGGACACACGGGGTATTAAACGACACAGATGCGCACCGGCGAGTGATGGAGACGGCTGAAGACGACGCTGAAGGCAGCGGCGTGTCGCAACTCCTTCGAACGACGAGACGGAGGAGGGGGAGGGAGAGACAATGATAATAAAAATAGTAATGAGTACTACTAATAATAGAAAAAGAGATACCTCCTTCGGCGGTTTCTGTTTTCCCTGTTTTTGACTGTGGATGAAAAAAAAACTAACGGAACAGTCGCACGCAAGGCATGTCTCTCTCTCTCTCTCTGTCTGTCTGTGCGTGTGTGTGTGTGTCCCCGCTATACAAGGAGGGGACGGACACCCGAATACGTACGACTTCAAAAAACAAATAAAAAAACCCTGGAGACACAACCAAAAACACATACACACAAGGAAGACAAAATGCTCAAGATCAACCGATTCTTTTTTCCAATAGGAAATCAACACGCAAGAACAAAGAGAATTGGAGATGAGGGATGACGGACGGCAGGTAGGAATCGGAGAGACGAAGTGCGAGCAGAGCCAACAGCAACAGCAACAACAGCAACAACAGTAATAATAATATAAAATGACGATGTGAAAGAGTTTGAGTGCGAATACTCCCGAGAAAGCAACAAGGAAAAACAACCTAGACACACACTCTCACATTGATATTCAAAAGTCCGTCGATAAATAGTATATTAATAATAATAATAGAAACTCCGATTCATATTATGAAGTGATTCACTTGTGGCTAGTGTTGTAACCACGATCACACACACACAGAGAGAGAGAGAGACAGATAGATAGATAGATAGAAAGGTCGATATGCTGTGCCCCCCTTTTGGAGAAAAAAAAAGGAGAAGGAGGGGAGGACAGGCAAAGCAACACAACAGCAAAGAGGAAAAAAGGTTATTGAAAAAAATAGCAATCGAAAGAAGAGATCAGTAAGCACATGCGGCGTATAAATATAAATATAAATAACGCAAAGTAATGAAGAGAATCACAACCGTTTCGTTAGAGACCGTATTATAATAATTAGAGTTTGTGTGTTTGTGCTTTCCTTTTGGTTCGGCTGTCACTCTTCAGCTTCTACAATGAAACCTAAGAACAAACACGAATGAATGAATAGCGGATGATGTACCACCGCCACGACCACCACGAAAAGAACCTGATGATCAACAGAGAGGAGTGCGCGAGAGTCGGCGAGACGGGGGATCTGCCCCGCGGCAATACCAACAACGCACAATGGTAAATGCAGATGGAAAGAAAGGAGAAAATAGAAAAGAAATCCTCGAAAAAAGAAGAAAGCGACGGGGGAAGGGATGAGAACAAATGAAGGTGCACAACCAGAAAAGAAGAGCCAAAAGCGGGTCGGATCACAGCGATAACAACAATAGAGCGCTGCTACCCGTAGACCCTTGAAAAACGCAGTAATAATAGTAATAGACGTAGTAATGGAAACTTGGAAGCGCGCACCTACGACAGTTATCACCGTCAACGCTTAACTTGAAAAGGGTGTGTAAGGAATAATAATAAGAAGAAGAATGATGGTTTGCTAGCAGCAACACGATTAAAGGAACACTCAAAACAACATGAAATAGAGATGATCCCGACCCCTGTGAATGGCTGGAGGGAGGGAGAAGGGGGGTGGGGAAAAGAAACAAAGGAGAGTAATAAAAGCAATGAATACCTGGAGGATGATCAGCACAGCATAGAGCACATAGAAGAGGAAGCAATATACACTAAAAAATGATAATTGCGGTGGTTAGTTGGTTGGGAAATCAGGAAATACATACATATATATAGGAATAATAAAAAAGAACAGGGACGGATAAGCCTCCTCGCGCGCAGCAACGACAAAAGACGCGGCGAACGGTGCGTGAGTCCTGCGCTTCTTTTATTTTATTTCTCCGAGAGTTCAGCTGTCCTTCTTTGTTTTCTCGTTGTTGTAATAGCAATAATAATAATAATAGTATTGCAAAGCAGTACCGCGCGTGAGCGCCACAGCGAGGATGCAGGGACGGCGCAAACAGGTCCGAGGGAGAGAGAGAGAAGGAGTGGCGAGAGAGAAGGGATGGATCTCAGCTACAGAGGGCATGAAGTAGCTTGGTGGATAGCAATGATAAACCTAATAGCGCGTGAAATCAATGCACAGGCGCACACACAGGTCGCTTTCATTTGACCTCTGTCGAACGACTACCTGGACAGGAAGAGGAAAGCAGAAAAAGAAAAAGCCGCCTGTAAGGAACTGCTGAGGAGGCCATCCAATTATTATTATTATTATTATATTTTCTTCTTTAAGAAGCACCCTACTCGTCGGCAGCCACTGCCTGGGGTTCTTTGAATCACTGTTGAATCCTTTTCCTTTTCTTTCTCTTTGGGTGAGAGGAAAAACAAAAAACAAAAGGTGATGTCAACGCTCCACGTCGCTCGCACACGCGCCCAACTCTCTACCGCACACGAAACGCATCAGCAACAACGACCACCACGACACAGTTGCGCAACAAAGATAAGTGCGTGTGTGTAGTTCAATTAATACGCCCAGCAATAATAATGACAGCTATATATATATATATATATATATATATATGAGAGAGAGAGAAGAGA